GCCTTTTACAGGAATATCTTTTAAGAATATTAAGTTCTAGTAAGGCATTAATGAATATTTCTTTATTAATATCTGATCACCCCGCCCAAGGAGTCTTACTGACTGTAAGATTCTGAATAGGTACTGGCCACAAGCCCAATCTGTCAAGGTAGAAGGAATATATCTCATTACGTTAATGATATTCTGTATATCCAGGCGACGTGTGACGTACGTAACAGGAAATCGAACGATGTTCAAGGCTTCTTTTCTGTACTTGTCATTTCAGTTGGTGGTGCAACACTCCACACATTCGACCAGAGAAGACAGCGCGTGCGTCTATTCGATATCAGAAAATATCTAACCTTGTATGCAACTGTCAAATAAACATAAAAATATTTGACGAGATAACTGGATTCCTTTCCACTGATGCTATTTTCAAGAATATAATTCCTATGTAAGTTAAAGACAAAGTTGTCTCTGTATTTAACTAATTAAGCACTACGCCATGAAGGCGTATGGGGGAGTGGATGTATAGATCCACGTTTTCTTGACCTCGAAACTAGCTGGAGCTGAGTGGTCAGCTTCACGCCCCGGCGAAAGAGCCCACGGTACCCACTGAATAGGATGTTGGATGTGCCCCACAGCCGGTGTGGACGACGTGGAGTAGAGAAAATTCTTGGCCCTACCGGGACTCGAACTCCGGCCCCTCGGTAGTCCAGCCCGTAGCCAGTCGCTATACCGACTGAGCTATCCCGGCTCCGTTATTCCTATATAAAACACCAAAATAAAGGTAAAGTGAAGCTATCGCTGAGTTTAATTAATTGTGCACCACGCCGTGAAGTTGTATAGGAAAGTGGAGTTACAGCTCCACAATTCTTGACCTCGGCACTAGATGGAGGTGAAAGGTCAGCTTCACGCCCCTGCCGCTTTACATCCTGGGAACAAGCGCCCCCCCCCCCAGGTATCCATTGGATAATCGGCTAGATGGGCCCCACAGCCGGTATGGACTTTACACAGTCGATATAGCGAGTAGACTAGAGGCCTAAACGACCGAGGAGCTGAGGCTTGATTCCCGGCAGGGGGCAAAAAAAACATCAAAGTGTGTATATGTCGGCCTTCCAATCTTCTTCTGGATAGGTCGGAAATTGTTTTAAATTTTAAAAATATAAATATCTGCTTCAATATAAATTAATTTCAAACGGTATATATTGTGTCTAGTTTCTGTGACGTGTTGCCATGCTCGTCTTTCCTTCAACTGACCATTAAGTCCATTCCGCTATTTGACATTAGAGCCGAGATAGGACAGTCGGTGATAGAGACTGGCTACGGCCTTGACGACAAAGGGGTTGGAGTTCGAGTTCCGGAGAGCAAAAATACTCACTTCTTCATGTCGTCCAGACCGGCTTTGGGGCCCACCCAGCCTTCTATCCAATGGGTACCGGGGGCTCTTTCTCCGGGAGTAAAGCTGCAGGGGTATGAAGCTGACCACTTACCTCCAACTAGCGCCGAAGTCAAGAAAATGATTGTCTATACATCCACTCCCCCATACGCCTTCATGGCGTACTGCTTAATTAGTTAAGCAGAGGGACAACTTCAGCTTTACCTGTCTAGACAAATCCCGGGATAAAACTTCCGTCCAGATCACTCCCAGTTTATGACGTACTGTCACGCCGGCGTTAAGATTTTGAGCTGATACCGCTGTATGCTAATGCGAAGTCCTTGCTTAATCTCTTGGAAGAGATCCAACTGCCGAGGACGGCCGCAGTCCACGCAGGTCCCTGACAGAAATGCGCGCCGCCTTCCGCTTCCCGCACGCGCTCAACATAAAACACTTCGTCGATACTTGTGCACAGTGCAGCCATGACCACGCGAACTATAAACATCAGCGCAAGCGCAGTGAAAAAGGGGAAAGTAAAGCTGTCACTGTCACGCCATGAAGACGTATGGGGAAGTGAAGGTAGAGATCCACAATTTTTGACCTCGGTACTCGACCGCTTAATCACCGGAGTAAATCGACACCGGTATCCCTGGGTTGGTCCCCACATCCGGTCTGGAAATTATGTAAAGTTGTCCCTGCGCTTAACTAGTTAAGCACTACACCATGAAGGCGTATGGGGGAGTGGATGTATACAGAAACATTTTCTTGACTTCGACGTAGTTGGAGGTGAGTGGTCAGCTTCACTTCCCTGCAGCTTTATCCCCAGGGAAAGAGTTCCCGATAACCGTTGGATAGGAGGCTGGCTGAGTCCCAGGGCAGGTCTCGACGACATGGAGCAGTGACAATTCCTGCCCTCACCAGGTCTCGAATACTCAAACTCCGACCCCTCGGTCGTCCAGTCCTAGCCAGTCGCTATATCGACTACGCTATCCCGGCTCTCTGGAAATTATGTAGAAGGGAAAAAATTCCCTCTGCCGGGGATCGAGCCCCGGCCCTGCTTTACAAACATCCAGATGCTGAGTCTAGACTAATGTTGTTTAACGTGCTGCTTGCTCAGGGTTACTGCACCCCTCGAGGGGGCGGTGACAGACAGATCTGGGGCAATTGTGACATATGGGGTTGATATTCAAACACAATGTCAGGCCTCCACAGTGATATGACACATGTCATTTGTCACAGATTAACGAAACTTTTATACCCAATAATTTCAGTCTTTATAAATTATTTTTGGAGCCGGGATAGCTTAGTCGGTATAGCGACCGGCCACACGGCCGCGGTTTGATTCCCAGCAACGACAAGAAATTTTTCCCTTCTCCACAGAGTCAAGACCGGCTCTGGGGTCCATATAGCTTCTTATCCAAACGGTAAACGGGTGAAGTGGCCGGGGCTTGAAGCTGATCACTCACCTGCATCTAGTGCCGAAATCAAGAACGTTGGAGCTATACCTCCACTCCCTCATATGACTTTATGGCATAGTGCGTCATTAAATAATTAAGTACAAAGATAAATTCAACTTTTATCTTTACTTTACTAATTACAGACTTGGTACAATATTTATACAAGACTCCAAGAACATTCTTAAATTGGTTCGTAAGTTGCCACTGAGGGGGGGGGGGNTGTAGTAAAGCACCCAAGAGCATTTTTTAATGTGTGCGGAAGGTTCCCCTGGGGGGGGGGGGGGGTAACAGAAGCAAAGTAAACGGAACTTGTGTCTGTGGCAAACACCTCGTATCGACCGACGGCCCGCCTTGCCTGCCCAGAGGAGGCGAAGCAATCCATTTCTGAGACGGGAGAAGCCATTAAACTGGATTACTCTTGTCTAAACAACAAGACACCCTGGGGATAACCTGGTATGCCCACTTTCCTGCAATAATGGCAGTAACTAAACCCATGGAAGCGAGTCCTAATTCAGAAGCTAGTAGTTGCTTAGCTACTTAAGATATTCCTGGCATTTTGTGGATCCCGAAGGTTCACTGTCAGGCTTGCCAATGGTCCTTATCCTGGTAAAGATATCCCTGTAACAGGCCATGGAAGACCATAGGGTTTTGAGAAGTCGAGGCTCCCACATTTTCTAGACAATCTGCTCAAAGATGGCGGTGAGGTTGTCAGCCTTACGCGCCAAGCTATTCCTCTAACAGGCCGTGGAGGCCCATAGGGTTGTGAGACGTCGAGGCTCCCATATTTTCTAGACAATCAGCTCACAGATGGCGGTGAGGTCAGCCTTACGCTCCGGCCGCCCTTTATCACCAGGAAGATTCACGGTACTCATTTCTGTTAGAGGTTGAGTCGACCCCAGGGCCATAGTGCGGTTGGAAGGATTGGGTAAATTGAAAAAAAAAATCACTTCATCGGGATTCAAAGCCGCGACCTTCCGGCTTGTAACATAGTGCTTCAACCAACTACGCTACGGAGTGCAGGTAACAAATTGTGGTTGTACACACTACCACAAAAAGGCAAGAGTTCAGTATGTACTTTCTATTATTTATTTATTAATTTAATTTTTCTTTAAAAATAGGTTATCAAGCAAGTATGTCTGCTTTCAGTAAGAATCCTCGCCTTATAACTCATCGGCACGGCCCGCGCAGACAACACCGTTCATTCTCGTACCCGTTGCCGTGGGAAAGTGTTTACCGAGCCGTTACTTAGCACCGACCGTCTATTCTTACTCATTAAGAATCTGCTGCCTAGCAACGGATGTCGTTCCGTTGTCTGTTTCGCGGCAGTTGCCTAGAAACGAATGTAGTTTCAAAGTCGTTCCCTGGCAACGGCTGTTTCTCTGGCTGCACAGTTCTTGCTTTCAGCAAATATGCCGCAGTATATTAGCGCACATTTTTCTAAGCACGCTGATTACTTTCGGGCCACCCGTACACTAAAACCATCGCGTAGAATTTGTATTTATGTAGGAAGGAAAATTAGGTCAACAATTAGGAAGGCAGACTGCGTCACAGATAAGATCTTGCAGTTCGTTAGCGTGGTATTGTTCTGAATGTGCATATTGATTTTGTGACTGGATACAATTGGATCAGTACAGGGAGCAGTGGCGAGCTCTTGTGAACACGGCCGCTAAGCTTCGGGCTCCATAAACGACACGGGAATATCGTCACATGAGCTGCTATCAGCGTTTGCCCTAAGTGCATTGTTAAGGCATTTTGGAAGATACTGTACCGATCACAGTGGAAGCGCGGTCTAGGGCATGAAATGTTTTCGCCCTCTCAAACGCTGGGGTCGTTAATTCGAATCTCACACGAAGCATGTGTGTTTTTCTGCGTTTATTCTGTTTGTGTTGTTCTGTATAGGCAGCGGTTTTGCGGCGAGCTGATCCCCCGCCCAAGGAGTCTCACCTATTAAGAAACAGCAAAATAAAGCCCAAAGTTCACGAAGGATTGTAACGCCCAAAAGATTAGATTACGGACTTCAGTCTGAATACATACTGTGCAATGACAAGTGTGTATCCAAGGTTACATGTTCATGTGTTCTGCTTCATGTCCATTAAATTAATATTTTAACGACAGAATGTTTCTACACGGAATTCTAGGGATGTAGGGGCAGTGACATGCATATTTATAGCAATGTTCCTATTCACCTTCGAAGTCTTTTTCTGAGAAAGTCTGATAATGAGTCTGCTGAATCCCGGGGTCTTTGGGCGCCTCGTCGTCTCCTGTTGTGGTATCCATTACCAGTGGCCTGAAACAGAAAAAATAAACAAGTTTGTAAACAACGACTCTCTCATGGATAAATGAAATGTGTTATTTTTACTTGCGTTCAATCTTTCATATTGGTATTAGCGAGGTTGTACCTTCATCTCCTGCCAGATACTAGTTATTCATCACAGTGTTATCTGGGGCTCACACAGCCCTCCCCCCCCCATTGTCTTTCGTTTGGCGCTACATCCCCAATTTGGGCCATGGCCTGCCTCCATGAAACTATCCGTTTCATTTCGGTTTACTAGATCTTAAGACATTTGGTAGGACACCTTGGGCGGGTGATCAGCTAGTCGCAAGGCCTCTACCTGTATACAAACACAGAAAAACGCATACACATACACAAACACTAAACATCCATGCCCTAAGTGGGATTCGAACCCACGATTCCGGCTTCCGAGCGAGCGAAGACAGTGTGTGCCTTAGACCGCTGGGCTACCGTGACCGGCCACAGTACCCTTTAGATTGGGTAAAAAGGTAAAGTTGTTCCTGTGCTTCACTAATTAAGCACTACGCCATGTAGGCGTATGGGGGAGTGGATGTATAGATCCACGTTTTCTTGACCTCGGCACTAGTTGGAGGTGAGTGGTGAGCTTCACGCCCCGGTACCAATTGGATAGGAGGCTGGGTGGGCCCCAGAGTTGGTCTGGATGACATGGAATCCTTACCGGGACTCGAAAACCAACCCCTCGTTCGTCCAGCCCGCAGCCAGTCGCTGTACCCACTGCGCTATCCCGACTCTCTATTCCTTACGGCCAGGAACAAGAAGCGCTATCAGTACTCACCGGTAAGTACCAACAGAGGATGGGACGGATAACACAGAAGCCGTAACCTTCGGTTTAAGGTCACACACAAAGAGCTATTGTACCTGTATCGGATACAGTTCCGTGATTCATATTGCGCCGTGGTACGTGATAAATCCCACGCGAGATAACGTAACATGTTGGATAAATGGATGAGAGAAGGAACAGGCCGGTGTCCCGACAACATTTATCAGATTCACTGACATAAAATAAATTGGAAAACAGCGATTTCCCGTCAGGACTCAAACAGACCGCTTTCCTGCTGCACGGTGCCACGAACCTACAGCTGTCAATGTCTCTTATACATGTTAAGATTTTAGGTTTCAGGGCGGTAACTATGATGAATGCCGTCTTCTGGGATGTGGCGCCGTGTAGATCTTGTGTGAACCGACGTTTCGGAGGAATGTATCGCCTCTATCTTCAGGGTAGAAAAATCCGCGAGTGAGGAACCAGTGTTTTCGACTGGTGGCTCAGTCTGCAGCCACCTGCTGGCGCTGGTTCCTCGCTCGCGGATTTTTCTACCCTGAAGATGGAGGCGATACGTTCTCGCAAACGTCGACTCACACAAATATACACGGTGCCACATCTCAGACGACGGTATTATTCAACTTATACATGTCCGAGCAACACAATGAAGTTCAGCTGATGGCTCAGCGTGATGTTTCGTGCGCAGGAGCGAATACTGTTCGAATGAACTCTTCTTGTTGCCAATTGTAAACACTGTCACGCACATGAAGTGTGGCTAGAGACGGGGTTTCGGATTGATGACCGGATTTATTTAATTCCTTGATACAGTGCGTGACTACACTTTACAAGCCACACACATACGCTAGCGTCCACTGCGATGAATAGGGAGCCGACGATTGGGCTAGAAATTCCATCCAATTTGGCGACCAGATTTACCGAACAAACTAATGTGAACAGTAACTATTCAGGCAGACACCTGTTCTCATCCTTTCCCGCAGATGCATACAGTGTCAACGTTAGAAGAATCAAATTCAAGCAGGAGTATGGATACATCACAACTGCGCAGTCCTGTGCCGCTCTGCGCGATACCCCACCGCGCATCGCCCTTCTTGTTCGAATCCTACAATATAAATTCATCACTCTCAGTCACTTATCATTTCATAAGAACTGGATAGAAAATTCAGGGCACAGCGAAACGAAACTAAATTAAACATTCAACTTAACTCCCGCGTTTTTTCTGTTTCCGAAGTCCTGATAAATGATGTAATGCTCAAGAACAAGTTTGTTGGCAGCGGATAAGCCCTAATGCACTGGGTTATAATTTGTTATTAGAAAGAGTTTTGTATGAGTTACGAGTTAAAAAGTAAAAAAAAAATGAAATATGTTACACGTAAAAAGTAGGCAAAGTCGTTCCTGTTCTTAATTATCTCAGCACCACGCCACGAAGACGTATGGGGGAGTGGAGGTATAGCTGCAATATCCTCGACCTCGGCACTAGATGGAGGCGAATAGCTTTACGCTCCCGTTCCCGCTGCATAGGACGGGTCCGGTATGGACACTGCGGAGAAGAGAAAATAATCTCCTGCCCCTGCCCGAAATCGAAACCCGGCCAACCAGCTTGTAACATATCGCTATATAGACTGAGTTATCCCGGCTTTGTTTCTATTATCAAGTACGCCCAGACCGGCTCTGGGGCCCATCCAGCCTCCTACACTATGCGTACCGTCAGCTGTTTTCCCGGGAGTAAAGCGGCTGGAGCGTGAAGATGACCACTCACCGATATCTAATACCGAAGAAAGTGTGGAGCTGCACCTCCAGTCTCGCATATTGGGGCATCATGGCGTGGTGCTTAACTAAGGGATATAAACTCCGTGACCTGTAGTCCCTAAGCGAACTATACCGAAAGAGGGACCGCCGTTTGTCGGCGAAGTTAGTACAACTTTAGCGGATAGAGGATGTCGCGTGGTCAGCGCAACGAATCCCCACGGCCGTTAATTTCGTTTTTCTTGACCGGAGCCGCTATTTCCTTGAAATAGCTTCTCGATTATCCTCACTAGGCTGAGTGGACCCCGTTCCAGACTCACTACCTCTCAGAAAATCTGGTAGCGCCGGGAATCGAATCCGGGACCTCTGGATCTGTAGCCAGGAACTCTTGACCACCAGGCCACAGAAGCTGTCTAACTAAGGGATAACTTTACCTTCATAGTAAAAGGGAAACTGTTTTTTGTTTTTGTTTTTTTACTATTATTCATGTTAATGGATTGAGAAGGGCTGTCTTTCAGATGAGGTGGTTGCAGTCAAGAAGGCTGGACTGTACTGTACGAAAAGCAGACACACTGGCTGGTGACAGATGGCTGCACAGTGGGACTGATTGTGAAGCAACGCCAGCTAAACCTGTCGGGCTATGATTCCGACACTTGCTCGCTTCGTCCGGAAGCGCAGCGAATTGCAAATGGCGCTGGAAAGGCCCGGTGTTGGGCTTAAAGACATTCAGAGATACTGTCAGTCAAGGGATTGATTTAAATACACTGACACTGATAAATAATGCGAAAACAGTAATAAAAATATCTAATCAGAACTGATAATACGACCTGTTACAAGACATTCTTAGCGTGACAAGACGCATTGAAGTTAATCTCGCAGCACCGCGAATTTATAGCTCTGTCTCACTTGCGCAGCAAGCAGCCATTCATCCTCCGTCTTCTTCTATTCCATTTAATAGCGATGAGTGTCAGCAGTGTCAGTTAACGACATAACGCTGCAGATACGTTCCTTGATGACCTTCATTAGGTACGTGTAATGTACCGCTAGTTATGCATTCCAGCATCACTGACCATATTTTTGTAGCAGAGTTTGCATGAGGGAGGTAAGATGCCGCAGATTTACTGTTAGCCTAGCCTAAAACGTCAGATTTTTTCTGTTTTTAATATTTCTTCTTCTTTCAGTATTGCGTGCTTGGACGACGTCCATAATACTCCTTTTCTCGTTCTGTGCTTGTGTTCGCAAGTCTGAAGGAGGGAGTGCGCACGCGCATGTACATAAGTAAGCTTCTGAAGGTCAGACAACGATTCCACTAAAAGAAGGAAGAAGGAAAGAGATAGGGTGTTGAGAATATTTGGAAGAGGGATGAAGTGACAGGAGACTGGAGAAAACTCCATGATGAGGAGCTTCTATCACCGTCCTTTTTAACTGCCCTTACGTTGGACTCCACTTATCACCGCTCATTTTGTTCATCTGTGTTGCCCCTACTTCCGGCACCATTTGTGGCTGCCTTTTGCCCGACTTTTGTCACTTATTAGTTCTTTACCTGTATCCCTTCCTTCCGGTGCTGCTGCTCACCTGCACCTCGTGTCTGGACACCTACACTGGAGCTACTGTCCTCCTTCCTCTTCTCGTGGATGGCGAGATGGTGGGAAGGGAGGAGAATTGTGGTTGTTGGTGCTGGTAGGCGGGAGTTCGTTTCCTGTACTACAGTTTGGTGTCCCGCAAGTAGGGAAAGAAGGGAGTAGCTGGGTTCTGCTCTGTAATGGGTAGAGATGAGTTCTTATCCATGGCCATATACAGGTCTGGCTCGGGCAGGGCAGGAAGATTCTTTCACTACAGTCACACCACTTCAGACTTTCGCACTTAGTATTCATTTAATTCACTTCCGTTCACTGACTACAACGGAATCCATTAGTAACACTTATTTGGATTTTTACTTATAATAATTTTACTGAAGGGACGTAGTTGTAATTTGTGTCTGACATGTCCGAAAGTTGGATGAAGACTCCTTGAGATGGAATGCACTCTCTCTGAATCCTCAGGTCCAAGAACCACAGACTACAGGAGAAATCCACTCCTCCAACCTTTGCCATTGGTTAACCTTTCAAACTAGGAGTTTCCATAAATTTGTAAATTTCCAATCATGTTTCGTTCCTGTGTGATTCTGGCAGTTGCTGACCTGACGCTAAGGTTGACAGCTACTTGATGCATTACGATCAGGGGATGAGGCTCCGGCACTCCCACTTCTGAGTTTTGGCTGTTCCAAGCTGTCAGCTCTCAAATTCTCAAAGACTTTCCGACTTTGCTGAAACTGCCAGAATTCCAGGAAATTACCAGATGTTACTTCCTGTCCACATACCAAAACTTGAACTACGTCACTTCTGCATGTAAAACTTGGCTATCTGCCGGATCTCTCTGTAATTTAGTGATATTAACTTAATGTAAACTT